GNAAATATATAAAATCCAAAAAGAAAATAAAACCAGGAGTGTGCTTGAGAGAAGAGTAGAAAGAACGAAATAAAGAGAGAAAACAAAACACGAGAGAGATAGAGTGTGAGAGAGAGGGAGAAATGTATGAAAGACCAAATTTCAAAAACAAAATCTTTTTCTCTAGTAATCTTAAATATTATTCTAGCGAGAATATTAATGCGTGGCCAAGTGAATTGATAATTAATTGTGATGAAATTTAACCACTATCAGTATTATTACTCTTGTTACTATTATCATTGTTATTATTAATCACAGTAGTAGTAGTAGTAGTAGTAGTAGTAGCAGCAGCAGCAGCAGTAGTAGTAGTAGTAGTAGTAGTAGTAGCAGTAGTAGTAGTAGTAGTAGTAGTAGTAGTAGTAGTAGTAGTAGTAGTAGTAGTAGTAGTAGTAGCAGCAGTAGTAGTAGTAACAGTGGTAGTAGTAGTAGCGGTAGTAGCAGCAGCAGCAGCAGTAGTAATAGTAGCCGAGAGCATATAAAGAGCACAAATTATTTATTTAAATGTTTGTATTCATTCATATACTGTCAACAAACCAGTATCAATCTAAAATTTACAAAAACAAACACACACACACACAAACAAACAAACACAAACATATACACACAAACAAACACACGTACACACAAACACACGTACACACAAACACACATGCCAACGCACATTCCTACGCGCAAACAACAAGCATATAAAGTTCGGCGTATGCCAAGGAAATATTAGTAAAATTTTTTCAGAAACATCGATGCGTAATCCAGCATTGTTCTGCTCGTAAAAGCACTTTTTTCTCTCCACTTTTTTAGTTTTTTGTCATCTTTCCATCAATATTCCATCATTTTTATGAAATTTTTGTGTAGAATTTTTTTTTCTATTTTTTTTTTCTTTTCAAAGACTTTTCCCACACGTATAAAGCAGTCGAGCATCTACAAATTCGCGCCACGCATTTTATATTTTGTCTCGACGCACAAGATAACGTTTTATGGGCTCTCTCTCTATCTTTCTCTCTCTCTCTTTCTCTCTAATTTCTCTCTCTCTTTCTCTCACTTTTTCACTTTCTCTGTCTTTCTCTCTCGATTTTTCTTTTTTATCTATCTTTCACTCCATTCCTCTTTCTAATTCTCAATTTTTTTTCCAATATTTTTGTTTTTCGATCCTTTATTATCTCTTTCTCTCTCTTTCTCTCTCTCTATTTCCCTTTCTCCATCTCTTTCTTTCTCTCCATCTCTCTTTCTTGTTCTCAATCTCTCTCAGGTTGACGCATTTTAATGAGTGTTGAAATATTAAAGAAGGAGGCGACGAACATTAGGGGTGAATGGGAATTTTTTTAAATTTGGCTCTAAATTAATTCCTTTAATTCCTTTTCTCTTTTATTTTTTAAACTTCATTTTAAAAAGACAGACATACCCACAAACACACGCACACACACACACACAAACATACACACGTGCCCATGTATGCATACAGACACACAGACTTATGTACACACAGATACCGACACGCAAGCACACACATATATAATATACATACAAACGACCAAAAACAAACACACATACACACACAAACACAAACAAAACACACATTCACACATACATTTTATGTTTATAAATGGTGACATGTTATTCATCAAAGTCCAAACTTTTCTGCAACTCTATAATGAACTTTTTCAATGAGAAAATAAATGCCTTTTAGTATGCATGTGTGTGTGTGTTTGTGTGTATGCGTGTGTGTGAGAGTGTGTTTATAATTGTTTGTATGCGTGTAAGTATGTTTGTGTATTTTCATCTTTTTCTGTGTTTTTATCTTTAATTATGTTAGCATAAGTTTGAAAGATCTTGTATGTTTGCACTTGTGTTATTCGTAATTGTATTGCATTGTATGTGTGTATGTATGAATGTTTGTATGTGCATTTTTTTATGTATGTATGTATGTATGTATGTATGTATGTATGGTATGTATGTATGTGTGTGTGTGTGTGTGCATGTATGTATGTATGTATGTATGTATGTATGTATGTATGTATGTATGTATGCATGTATGTATGTATGAATGTATGTATGTATGTATGTATGTATGTATCTATGTATGTATGTATGTATGTATGTACGTATGTATGGTATGTATGTATGTAAGTTTGTACGTATTTACGTTGAAAAGACTATATTTATATTTTACCTGATTGAATGTTTGTTTATCTGAAGATGATTATTATTTGCAGTGTAGTGTGTGCTTCCTCACAGTATGGTTCATCGTCCTCTTTCTCCTCCTCACCATTGTCACCATCGTCATTGCCACCATCATCATCGTCATTTCCTCTTTCATCATCGTGACGTCATTCCGGTCAACTAACTACCTCATCGTCTTCATCATCGTCCTCATAATGGTCCTCGTTAGAACGAAAGAAGATAAAGAGGCAAAAGATAAAAAAATGACATAGAAAAAATGGAGAGAGAGAGAGACAGAGACAGAGAGAGACAGAGAGAGACAGAGAGAGACAGAGAGAGGTAAAAATACAGAAAGACAGATAAAAGGAAGGAAGAGAAAAAACGAAATCAACAAAAATGGCGATCGAAAAACTGTTTGAAATAAATAAGACGATGATGGAAAGATGAAAACTCACTGCCTAGAAGAGCTCATAAAACAGGCATAAAATTATAAAAAATCATCGCAGGTGCGTCTTGCTAGGTTTTTTGCATGTATGTATGTATGTGTATGTATGTTTGTGTGTGTTTGTACGTGTGAGTTTGTACGTGTGGATGTGTTTGCGTGAGTATGCTGCTTGTCGTTTATTTGGGTTTTATACTATCTTACCGATGTCCTCCTATGTAATTTTCACATTTTGTTTCTTTTTTCTGGGTAAATTTCTATTTTTTTTCTAAACTTTTCATATTTTCAACTTTATTATTATTTTATTATTAATATTATTTGTCCTTTTTTTTATATATTTTCCGCAGAATTTTGTCAGACACGCTCGTAACATCTGATAGTCATGTTCCACGGTTGTTACTCATATTTCAAACAAAGTGTACGTATGTTTGTTTGTTTGTGTGCCTGTGTACGCGTATGTATGTGTGTGTGTGTGTGTGCGCGTGTGTTTATATACGTATGTATGTGTGCATGTAGATAGAATTTTAGATTTAATACGATATGAAACGAAGCAAAGTTCAAATCTTATGTCCTTATCTACGGTTGTTGGTTTTATTTACCAATTCCTTGAATTATTATTGATAACGATTATGGCGACGACGATTGCGATCATGTGATGCATGCATACGTGAATTGATGCATGCATACATGAATTGCCACGGTAATAATAATAAAATATTATAATTATTATTGTTATAATAATAATAATAATTATTATTATCATTGAAAACTGACAGAGGTAAATATTTTAAACTGGCGTAAAGATTTAAAACTATTCATTCATAAGTTGATCATCAAACTTGCGATTTAGCTAACAATTCTATCACTCATTCATTTATCCATTCATTCATTCATTCATTCATTCATTCATTCATTCATTCATTCATTCATTCATTCATTCATTCATTCATTCATTCATTCATTCATTCATTCATTCATTCATTCATTCATTCATTCATTCATTCATTCATTCGTTCATTCATTCATTCGTTCATTCATCTATCCATCTAATTTTCTTCCACCATTAAAGTCAGTAGCTCTTCATTCCCGCACTCCTTATCTTCCAGCCTTTTGGAACTCTAGAATGAATGAATAAAAATAATAACTGGATGAAAGAAAGAATGATTGAACGAACGAATGAGCGAACGAACGAATGAATGAATGAACAAACGAATGAATGAACAAACGAACGAACGAATGAATGAATAAGCGAATGATTGAATGAACGAACGAACAAACGAATGAATGAAAACGAATGAAATCATACTTGATGATAATTGACCAGGGTTGGGATAGAATTTATTTTTAGATTTTTCCTAAAGGAGTTGTTCGGGTCCTTCCACCTTGTATGTAATAATTAATAATCACCATAATAATAATAAATAATAATAAAC